CTATACCATTGGCTAAATTCATGATGGTATCAATAGAATTGCCTTTGCCCCAGGGGGATGATTTATGTCCTCTATCATAAACTGAAAGTTATGTCTCTAAAGTGAAGCAGAGAACTATATAAGCCATAGATTGGATTGGGGGGGCTTCCACTGAATCATAGGCTTAATCTAAGAATAACTAGTTCTTAAAGCATGGTCCCGCTTGAAATTCACCTTCATGAAGAGATCACTGAAAATATGAGTTCTATACCAAAATGTGGTGAAGAAATCAGGTGGTGCCCAGTTATCAGAAGAAAGAATATCTGTTATCTGAGAGGCTTTTCTTCAAATAGGCAGTCATCTATGTGAGGAATCAATTAAATGCACATGAAATAAGCGACCAAACCTGTGTGATCCAAGGATTATAAATAATAAAATCCAAATCTGTAGAATGGTATCAGATCCTAAATTATGAACACCTGGCTAGCAGAAGGCTATGGGTGACAATGGAAGTCTAACATGTATTTGCAAGGTCCCCACATGGGTTCCACCTCCAGCGAATTCCCTCTGAGAGTAGTCCAGGGATGGGAGCAGCCTTGCTGTTAGACAGCGAACTTTATAAAGTTGATTACTGCAGATGTAGTTAGGTTGCAGAGTAACGCTTTGTAATTTGATCTCCCTTTTAAAGGTGTTTTAGCTTTAATATTTCCTGCTTTCTTTTGGATTGAGGGTTTTTTATTCTCTTCTGTCATTGTTGTTGGGTTTGATTGTTCTGTTTGTTGCTTGCGTTTGTTTTGTATGATTTTCTGGATATGAAATCCAGGATAGGCAAATCTATGGGGACAGAAACTGGATGAAGAGCTAGGGAGGGCATGGCAAGGAAAGTTGGGGAGAAACGAGGCATTAACAACAAGGAATCCAAGAAAGAATAAAATGTTCTCAAGTGGATTGTGGTGATGATTGCACAAACTCTTAATATGACTGAATGATGAAATTGTATGATATATGAAGTATATGCCAAGAAGACTATTTAAAAAATATTTACAGTATTGGAAACCCACATGGACAGTTCAGCTCTGTCCTGTAAGGTCTCAATGAGTTGGAATCCATTGACTTTTGTTGTTTTGAGTACTGATAATGTTGACGAAGTTTTTTGTTTTGGCCTTTTTTTTTTAAGTTTTGTGCATGCTTTTATTTTTGAGTGATATCGTGGCTGGAAATCATACTCTGCACTCCTTTTTTCTTCCCTAGAGTAACTTGGAAGCCTGTGTCTATTGCATTGATTGATTCTGTAAAGTAGACTGATGTAAGTCTGAAGTTTTACTTCTGTAGACAATTGGCTTTCTCAGTCTGGGAGAAATGCTCTTGAGTTTTAAATTTTGTTGCTAAGTGTTTTGCTTAAATCATATTTTGAAGGAATATAATATGGGGATTTTTATTACGTGGACTTTTGTTTTCCTTTCTTTAAGCGGGGGTTCTCACTGCCATCGGAGAAGACTTACTTCTATTTCCACCTACTCCTTCCCAACAGCACTAGCCAGAAGATAAAAACAGCATCACCCATTTCGTTGTCATCTCTCCATACCTGGCCAGGATTTTTGTACTTACCAATGTGGGTGTGTGTGTGTGTGCACGTGCACACGAGGGGGTGAGGGTGGTGCAAGATTTTAAACTGCATGTGCAGCCACTGAAGGCAATTGTGCTGAAGAATTCGTTGCTAGTAGAAGTGGTTTTGATTGTTTCAAAGTGAGGGAAAATTGACATAACAGTAAAGGGCAAGTCCAAGTTGTTTTTATTTCTCTATAACTAGTTTTGGATTTAAAAAGTTTATATTTAGCATTAGCCAGATGGACTCAATGTAGATGATTTCGATTTTGTTGGCAACATCTAAAGCAGGGGTCCTCAAACGATGGCCCGCGGGCCACATGCAGCCCACCTAGCACATTTATCTGGCCCGCCGGGTGTTTTGGCCCATTTTGTTTTTTACTTCAAAATAAGATGTGTGCAGTGTGCATAGGAATTTGTTCATAGTTTTTTGGTTTTTTTTTTAACTAGAGTCTGGCCCTCCAACGGTCTGAGGGACAGTGAACTGGCTCCCTGTTTAAGAAGTTTGAGGACCCCTGATCTAAAGCATCCAGTCAAATACATATCGGCCTTCTCAAGGTGTTGACCTTCAGCTCTGTCAATGTTACAAAGTTTCTTCACAGCCTCTTTGATCTGATGCTTGTTGGCCTGGATGTTCACAGTGGACACAAGTGTGTTGTTGTCTTCAATCTTCTTCATGGCCAACTCGGTGGTTCAGGGGAACTTGATGATGGCATCGTGGTCCAGCTTGTTTATTTTGAGGAGGCTTTTTCCAGGGTATCTGGGCTGCCTTCGCAACCTCAGGGTCTTGGGCCTCTGAAAGGTGGATGACATGCACATCTTTTTATGTGTGGCTGTGTATGCCTTTCAGCATGGCCTTTTGGCCTTTAACACCTTTACTTTGGCTTCCATTTTGGGAGAGACAGGGCTTTCCTTCTTTGCTTTGACACCACCTTTGTTAAAAGAGTCTGTTAGGCCCATTCTCAGGGCCGTCTGTATTTAAATCCAACCTTTGTAACTTGCATCTAATTTGGCAACTGTAGTACTCAAACAGGCACAAAGACTAAATACTTGTGCAAATGCTATATGTAAGGAGAAAGTGGAAACTAGAACAATCATATCATCCCTCCACAAACTTTTGGAAGCTCCCACATATGCATACATATTACCTTATTTAGCTTCTTGTCACAATCTCACAACAATTCTGGGCAGATCTTGTTCCTGGTTACACAGATTGAAGACAACAACACACTGGTGTCCACTGTGGACATCAAGGCCAACCAGCACCAGATCAAAGAGGCTGTGAAGCTCTATGACATTGATGTAGCCAAAGTCAACACTTTGATCATGCCTGAAGGTGAGAAGAAGGCAGATATATATTTGACTGGATGCTTTAGATGTTGTCAACAACAACAACAACAATCAAACTCACTCCCATGAAGTGGATTCTGAGATTCTGAGTGGTCTCTGAGACTGTAAACCTTACAGGAGTGGATAGTCTCATCTTCCTCCTACAGAGTGACTGAGAGTTTGAACCACCAGCCTTGCAGGTCACTGTAGGACACATGCCCCCATTGCCACCAGAAGATAAAGTAAGGCTACATAAGAACTGAATTCAATTGTTCTGATTGCCTACAAATTCCTCTTAAAGGCACACATCGGAATAGAAATTAACCCAGGGACTGCCTATGCCAGATTTTTCTGAGTTCATTTCTTTCCCTATATTTTACTCAAATTGTCATTACAGTGGATATATTAATATCCCATCTTCTTGTTTTTCCCCCATAGAAACCTTAAAATGGTTGTTAAAGTATCCAGTTATCCATTACTGAATGTCGTAATGCCAATGATTATTTTTAAATGATTCCTTTATTTGCAACCTGAATCCCAACAGAAAGAAAGATTGTGTAGCCAAAAACAAAAGGGAGGGAAATGAAGTTCAGGAACAAACTATTTAGTATCTATTTACAATACTGTTTGACTAGAGAGAGGGATGGTGACAGATATGTAAAGTAGCATAATAAGATTTCTTTTGATAGCTCCACTTCTGACAGGCAAAGCAAAAACTGCACAGGTGAACAACATAGAACTGGTAGGCCTGTTAGGTAGTTTAGCTTAGGGACTGGGGTGTCCGTTACGCATGCTCAGAGGTCTGAGGTAATGGCCAAGAAGGAGTAGTGCACTGCGCATGCTCAGAGGCTCAGGTTTCTGGCTAGGAAGGGGAGGTACACCTGAGTGGGCACTGCACCTGGATTGGCCCACCTCGGCCAGGTAAAGTCAATTCAGCCATTGGGGTCAACCAGGGTCCTCCACCACACCTCCCGCTGAATAATTGAAACGGCAGGAGCCTGGAACGGACTGTGTGACTTTCTGAACAGTTTCTAGCGAGGCTGCATGGGGTGAGGGTTCCTGCAGTGCCTGTGTAAACCTGAAACTTCTAATTCTCATAAAACCCACTGGGATCACAAACCAGGCTTCTGCGTGAATTCTTTCTAGCGTGGAGCCAAGGACTGAGGGATATCTCTCCCCTGAGAGATCTAACAGACCCATATGTACTTTAACACCCTCCCCCCCTCCCCCACCCCGCCAAAGAAAGAAACAAACAAGCTTACATTTGAATTATTGTGCTAGAGAAGAATATTGAAAGTACCATGGACAAACCGGTCTGTCTTGGAAGAAGTACGGCTAGAGAGCTCCTTAGAGGCAAGGATGGAGGGACTTTATCTTACAAACTTTGTATGTGTTATCAGGAGATACCAGTCCCTGGAGAAGGACATCAGGCTTGGCAAAATGGAGGGGCGGCAAAAAAAAATAGAAGTCCCTCTCAAAGAGATGATTGACACCATGGCTGTTCTGATGGGCTGAGGCATGGGCACAATTGCAAGGATAGCCGGGGAGCAGGCTGTTTCGCACACGATCGCTCTGGCGAAACCGACTGCATGGCGCTTAACAACAACAAGGCCATTGCAGGCGAGCTGACTCCGACTCATAGCAACGTCATGGCGATTCAGAAACTGGAATCTTTTGGCAAACCGGCTGCCCCGTCTTTCTCCGTGTCCAGCTAGTGGACTCAACTAGCGATTTTTCCATCAGCAACAGAGCACATTCCCCATGAACTCAATCCAGCAAATAAAGGCCATTCAAGAAATCCCCTTATTTTAAAAACTAGAAAGTGTGTGCTGGCTTATGATAATCACCAAATGGCAATCCACCGTAATCCTATGTCAAATCAACTTCGGTGGCCTGTGGAAAAGGGCACTTCTTGGCACGCATCTTTCTCCGTGGAAGCCTTGGGAAGCCCCATCCCTCCGTTGCCCTCCCCCAGGGACAGAGAAGGCCCCTTCAGGAAACTCTTCTGGTCATGAGAGCTGTGGTTCTGAAAACAGGCCTCATGATGCCACATATAGAAAGAGTCAAAAGAGCAGGACATTGAAATGTTTGCTTAAAATGATAACATTTATTTCAAAGCGGAACATAGTATATTATAGATAGCATTTAGATGCAGAGATTTAATAGGATGCTCTTCAACATCCCCAATGCATTGGCATAGAAACATTAGAAAGGAAGGCTATGTGTTTCTGCCCATATCACAGCAAAAATTCTGCGGCAGCTTATATCGAAACATCTTAGTAGGCAGAGGGCCTGGCTAGTTGCAAACTACAAGCATTGGGTTTATTTATTTGTGCCGTGTGTGTGTGTGTGTGTGTGTGTGTGTGTGTGTGTGTGTGTAAACTCCTGAATAATTTCCCCGCGTACCTTCATTCTCAATAGCTATGGTGTGCAATTATACATACACATATCCTGCTTTTTAGGGCCACTGAAAGTCTTCAATTGTCATGAGTTCTGATAAAAAATGTGGAGATAAAATGTCTATATTTAAATTCTATTCCCCTCTACGCCACCTTCTCTCCATTCCCACCAGTGTATTCCATCTGCACACTGTGTTAGATCAGCTAACCAAGCGAATAAGAGATTTTTTTCGTCTGCCTGCTGTTGCCAACCTACCCACTCCAGAAAGTGTGACACATGCGGTTTCAGAAGCCAATCCTAGGATTGGGCACAATTTATGTGCTAACCCTTTGGCTGTTTGGCTGTTTTGCTCTTTGTCAGCGTCAAATTGAGACCTTGGTACTCTGAAACAAAACAAAAATAAAATTGTAACAATGATCAAGTGTTTCCTCTCAGCCCATTAGCACCAACTCCGCAGTAAATGGAACTTTGAGGACGTCCTATAGCTATGCATTCTCCATGTGGGAGTAGAGTAACACATCTTCCTCTTCCAAGAGAAATGATTTTATACATACACATCTCTTACTAACTATATTCAACACTCGGACACTATCTGTTCCCACTGTATTTTCATGCTCGAGAGCTGGGGAAGAAAAAAAATGGTTTTTCCCATCTTAAATGTAATTCCTGATCTGTATGACTTCCATAATTTGAAAAAAGACAACAATTCTCACTTGTGGATGGGGAAAAGGTTTCTACTAGTCGGGTACTACTGCAAATGCATAGCCTGATGGCAGCACAGTGTTCCTGGGGCCCCAGAGCGCCCTCCAGTGATGCCGCATGCCACAGCCAGACGCTAGGGTGGCACCCTCTAGAAGGGCCAGCACTTCAGCTATCTACAACCCTTTCTGTGTCGCGTGGGGCTGCTACTGTTTTGAATCATTAGCAGCTCAGGCACATATACTGATCTATCTTATTTCAAGACGGCAAAAGATATCCATAGCATTCCCAAAGGATTTCTTGGGAAACAGCAACTATCCATCATCAATCAGGAAATTATGACTGAGTTCTTAAAAAGCCTAAACTCCTCTTTGAAAAAAATTATACATATATACTTCATTGGTATTCTGAAGAACTCAGTCTTAGAGTTTGTCTTTCTTAATTGGACCTTGGACCTGAGTCGACTTTATATAAAACTTTCAATTCCGAAAGTCCATTCCTTCGCCTTTCCAGTGTGTCTTTTAAAAATATTATAGAGAACACAGTACTGCACTCCGTATTTTTAAAAGTGTGAGAGAGAGAGACTGCTGGTTAAATTCACAGAAAGATTGCATAAAGGCAGACATAAATAAGAATTATTTTCTAAAGCAACAAAAATAAATTGTGTTGTAAAACGACTTTTGCAATTACAGTGTCACGTTTGCCCCCTCCCCAGTGGCGAAGAGGCACTGCATCAATATAAACAGAATCACCTGAAGCACATTTGTCAAAACCGTGCTTCTCAGCCAAGGGCTAATGCGGATTCATTCTACTCCAGGTGCCCATGGCACTTCCGTCTGCTGTACTGGCAACGTTTCGGCGACGCATCCTATACTAAGAGGAAGGCTAGAAACCAAGCACATGATAAAAGCCAAAGCCACCGATGTTACTTCTTCTCGTGCTTCTTGGTTAGCTCCCCCACTCTCAGCTGGCAGGCGCCCTCGTTGGCCCTGGCTCGCTCTGCCGCCGGCCGGCCCTCGTGGGAGACTTGCTGCACAGCCTGCAGGATCGCATTCTGCACAATCTGTTTGCTGGCATTCTGCAGCTTCACCTCTTCAGGCTCATCTCCAGGGTTCTCACCTAGCCAAAAAGACCAGAGGGACATGAACAGAAGAGACATTCATTTCAGAAACAGTGACAGGGAGGGGCAGGGGGACCGTAGAAAGAATGGAGGAAACTGTAAGGACATGTAAATTCTGAGGCACACAGGTAGACACAATGCCATGGTCTGACTTCTCGTCGCCCCAGGAATGGGCCCAACCTAACATTTTACTGACATAATACGTCTCATTTAATATTCGCATTACCCCAGAATCCTCTGCTGCTAGATACAAGTGACCATTTGGCATCGTGCTGGGTAATGAGGAAATCTTGGAAAGGAGCAAGCCCATGCCCCTTTGGCTTTTTGCACTGTCCTCTCCTCTTCTTTGCAACTTCAATAGAAAGGTGCTGGGTGTTGTCTTGTAAGAATATAATCATCTTGTAATATGCACAGAGAAGAAACCTAGCAGTCTTAAAGGCATCATGGAACATGTACACCAGCCCTGGACCCTACATGAGTGTAGTAGTTATATAATCATTCGTCAATCTGAGATGATTAAGAGTGAAGGGGTGGAGCCTAGCCTGTCAATCAGGTCATACCAGTGAGGCCTCTGTGTGGGCATGGACTTCTCCTGAGGATCCTGGGAACTCCGGTATTCCTCCTTGGAGGTGGAAAACACTCTCTCACTCTGCTCACTCCCTGGGAGACATTGCAGCTGACCAGACCCATGGAGATACTCTAGTGCCCTGAGTTGGAAAAGCCACATGGAAACCCCTGCCAGTGCTGAGATGCATACACCACCACTGGATCCACAAGATTTCCCACCCACTGGCCTGTGGTCATCCTGAATTTGGCATCATTGCATGTGTTTCATGAGTCTGAAGAGGCCTTTATAGATTGGTATCAGACATATAGGCTCATATCGGACTTATGGACTTGATCTGAACTGGGCTGAGATTTTTCTTAATGTTCAATTAAGAACATTGCATATAAAGCTCTTTCCTACACATGCGAGTGTCTATGAATTTGCTTCTCTAGTCCACTCAGAATGACACAAGAACCAAGAATAAATTGAAAAGAGAAAATATATAGGTGCAGAAAGTCAACCCTGACCTTTGAGGGGCTCTACCTATTACCACTATTCAGCAAAAAGGTGTAGACCCACAGAGAGACACTCCTAAAGAAAGAAGTTCTACTCATGCTTTCTCCTAGAAAGGATCTTAGCCAAATTTAAAGAGTGTTGACATTAAACTGTCCCTACTGAATGAATCACTGGTCTTGAGATCTCAGAGCCACGGTCTCAGAGGACATGAAGGTCTGTTGGCATAACATAGATCATAAGGACAATGTTCTCCATCCTACTACGATATTTAGTGGCTGGAGGCCTAAAATCTCATAAGCATCCATCTGTGGTGCAACTATTGGTCTTTCCTCGTTAAGAGGGAAAAAGTAAAGAAAATCAGTGATGCCTGGAGACAGTGGATCCAATGGACTCATTGACCATATACACAGCAGTCTCTTTATCCTTGAGATCAGGGGAACTGGATGGTACCCAACTGTCACTAGCAATTTCTCAGAAAGGGATTGTGACAGGTAGGTTATTGTGCCAACTTGGCCAATGAACACATGTGGGGTTAACTGAAGGGCAGTTTAATTGAAAGGCGGAGAGATAAATCACTCAGCCAGCCTCGCCTTTCTGGTCTAGTGCTCTTTGATGATCAGACCAGTGTGCAGCTGCCTTAGCTGATTCTCTGCCTCAACTTGCAAGCTACACTACCTGTGGGACACCCAACCTGTGGACTGTGTCACTGCAGTTTGAGGTTCCTTTAAGACCTGCTTCACCACGCTACTGGTGTATACATTGCTTGAGCCGAGGACTGTTGGACCCTGTCATCTGGCTAACTGCTGGTGACCTGGCTTGCTGTTTGCTGCCTGTGGCCAGATTGCTTGAATTGCTCTACAGAGGCCTCAGCTGTCTGGTTCCTTGACTTGCACTGGTGGCCCTCATGACTTGAAGGACTGCCAGTGTATTAGCTGTCTCATGGAAGTGAGTTGCACTGAGCCATTTGCACTGCTCTATAGACTAATTAGCTGTTTATTTCTTATTTTGTATATATATCTATATAGATATATAAAATCATAAGTGTCCTGCTCTTGTTTCTCTAGAGAACCCTGTCTAACACAAGGATCACCTTAGAAAGTTTTGGATAGAGATGGAGAAAAATGCGGTGGAAAAAAATCTAAATTATTTTTTTTAAATAGGCTTGCTGGTCAGATAGAGACTAACCTCAGAGCTAGTCATAGCTTCAGAATGAACTCACCATAGCTTTGCCCATAGCTTTGCTCATAGCTTGGGAATATACTCATCCCCATCACTCAATGTTTGGCCAAACAATCAAAACTCAATGAGGGATAATAAGGCCTTCTAATGACCAGATATTTGAGACTGGGGGCAGCGGTTTCCCGGGGACAAAGTTCAGAAGGCTTAAGAAAGGAAGAGTGGAGGCAGGGAATATGGGGGGGAGGTTGGGGGCCAAGGTTGCATAATGGAGAGTGCCATTGGTGACATGAGGTATGGTATCTGTGAATGATTGAATGTTAGACAAATCTGCTCTATAGGCCTGCATCTAATTCATAATAAAAAGTTGGAAAATGAAGAAAAATGAAACTTAAAAAAAAATCTTGCTGTATAACTATCTTTCTATCTCGGGATGGAGGAAGAAAGAAGCTAGAAACATGAATAAGCTGTTCTTTAATAGTACAGAGAGAAGGGAAAAAAACTATGCTAAACTTAGCCATGACCTATTTGAGCTAAACTGTCATGTCCTCATCCATTCATTATGAAGATAAATTGATTAAAAAGTCCAAGGCAGTGTGTGCCAGACCATGTCTGGAGGACCGTTCAGTATCAACTGGCAAGGCGGGGTTAGTCCTCCTTGGCCCAGCTATCACTTGACTCCCGGTTAATGAGCAGCTGTCTGCAGGGGAAGCTGGGAGACAGAGAGAAGGGCTGGATGGAGAATCGAGGCACGAAGATGAGGGAAAGACACTCAGAGCATTAACAGACAATAAAATCAGAACCAAAAGCTCTACAAACCACACATTTGTACGCTGTGTGGTGGGTTCTTTGGGCCACAATGAAAGACACCTTCTGAGATCTAATCTTATGGGAATTGGGGGTGGGAGCCATGTGTGATTATGATGAGGATACAGATGTCATAGCCAGATACCATGGCAATATTTACTTCAACCTCGCGTTACAATCCAGAAATAAGAAGCAGTCAAAGTAACTAGGTATTTGAGTATCCAGATTATCTTCTGGCCATTAGAAGGTCTCAACTGTCCTGTTGCTAAAACTTTCTCTTCCTCTGGAGTCTCCTGAACTTCAAGACACTCTTGTTTCTACTTCTTCTTACCTTCCCGCACCTCATGGTGCTACATATTGCCTTTTTTCTGAGGTCATTCTAACTAAGGTTATCTGGCAACTGGTTGACTCTTGTCATATCTTCAAGTTAAACTCCTCCAAGAATATGATAGGCTCAGCACATCGCATCCATTGCTGTAACACAGGGCTTTGATGCCAGTCCACCTTGTAAGCCACAGAGGGAATGCACTTGACTCATTTTTAATTCATCAGCTGTGTCCATGGAGGATGGTTTAAGAGGTGAGAGCCTGAGGCAGGAACCACCTGGTAGGTCTTCCCTTGGCAAGGCATTGTGGGTAGAGTAAACATCCACAAGTTTGGCATTGTCTAGTGACCCTGTGGCATTCACTCGAAGGAGTGGGTATTCGAGAAGACCCTCGTGGAGAGACTCAATGTTAGTACAGTTGGAAGAAGTGCATCAGAACCCCACAGAAGATCAAGCACTCCGAAATTCTCGTCCCAGTTTTCTGTGTGCAGTTCCTTCATTACGGTCGAAAGAAGCCCCACAGTCTTATAGGTGGCTGATTGATGCAAATATTTTCTAGCTTGATTAGCATTCACAACATCATTTCCTTATTTCACTAAAGATGATGTATAAATTTAACTAGTTTTAATCACTTAAATGTCCAATTAAAATAAGTTGAAGTCAAGAATGTGATGTAGTTAATGGTGGTGGAATAATTTGGAAAAGGATATCAACAATGGTTGTACAACCCAAATAGTCTAATCAATGGCACTGCATTAAACATGGAGAAATTGTGGAATTAAAGAGTGTTTTGTTGTGTATGTTTTTGCAATTAGAAAAAGCAATAATTACATGAATAACAATGGGCACAAGGAGGAAGAATATGTGACAAAATAGATTGAATATGGTGATAATTGGACAACTTTTCTTGATGGGATTGAATTATTGAATTGTTGGACATATGGATAAAGTGCTAATAAAACAGTTTAGAACAAAAGGAATGTGATGTGACCTGTATTTATCTTTAGTACCTCTACCCCAATTCTGGCATCTTGCTTCCCTGAGGCTGCCCAGCTCTCCATCCTACGCCTGCCACAGGCAATCCGATGCCCACACCTCTGTTCCTCTGCTTCAGAACTCACCAGTCCAGTGTAAGCCCAATGGTGGCTTAGTTTCACTCTAAGAACCTAAATGCTGTTTACTTCCCTTAGCACAGTGGTTTGCATGTTGGCCGCCTACCTAAGGTCAGCATTTGAAACACCATTTGCTCGAGGGAGAAGGTTGGGGCTTTCTATTCCACTAATGAGCTACATTTTCAGAAAGCCACAGGGGCAGTTCATTCTGCCTGGCCCTACAGAGCCACGATGAGTTGGAATTGACTCAATGGCAATGAGTTTAGTTTGCTTTGGGACATGTGATTTGGGGGAAGGGCCATTGGTCCCATCTTACAGAAGAATCCCATTATGATTTTCCCTAGGTTTCACAGATACAGCGGCAGAGGCTGTGCCGTAAAGAATGATCTGCTCTGATCTGTCTTCAAATTGTCAAAGCCTCTCTCAGACAAGTGAGGACTCCTGCACCATGACCTCTGCATACTCTCAGAGACACGGTACAGTAAATGTCTTTTTCGTCTCCGTTCATTGCTTGAG